CAAGGCTGCAAAGGAGCTCTACAATGGTGTGGGGTTGTCTTGGGCCTGGCTTCATCGGACTTTCCCGGAGGCTCCGTCGTGGTTGGTGTCGGCTGTCCCGGTAGTCGCCGGAACAGATGGGAACCGCCATGAGAGAAAGAAGTGGAGGAAGGCATCGGCGGTGGCAGTTCACTTGTTCTGTGGGCGAGATCGAGCTACGTGGAAGTCTAGCGCGGAGGTGGCCCATGTGGTGACGGTGGACCAGGCCGAGGATGTGATGGCGGATGCGACCTATGCGGCTTTGTTGGACCTCGCGCTCACAGGCAAGATCAAGACAGTGTTTGGAGGCAGTCCCTGTAGGACGTTTTCGGCGCTTCGTAATGTTCCAGTGAGTACTGGGGAAGGACCTCGTCCTCTTCGTGATCGTGAGGGCAGCGGAAGATGGGGCCGCGAAGGACTTTGTGACTGGGAGACCTGGAGGGTGCGCCAGGACACGATCATGATCTTTCGGATGCTGTTTCTTTGGATGGCGGCTGCCGCGGTAGCTAGAGCCAATGGAGATCGGGACCCGGACTTCATCCTGGAGCATCCTGAAGATCCTCGTGAGTTCCTTAAGGGGGAAAACATGGCGTCGCTATGGGCCTTCCCGGAGATTCAGTTCCTGAAGGATGAGATGAAGTGGTTTTGGTGGGGGTTTGATCAAGGGCCATTGGGGCATCCTCGTCGGAAGCCTACGCGGATCCTCGCGTCCATGACTTGCCCGCGGGAGCTGTGGAAGGTTCGAGGGCCATCGTCGGTGACCGAGGACGAGCGAGATCATGATGGCGATGGTTTTCGTTCGGCTACCTGGGCGGCATGGGCTCCGGGCCTGAAGCAAGCAGTCAAGCGTGTGGTGGAAGAGAGTTTGGCGGGCTCCACGTTGGAGAAAGTAATGAAGCTTGATCAGGCCTTCCTGGATCATCTTCGCCGAGACCACACTCCTTTTCGGCGTGACTGCAAAGCTTGCTTGGCCGGCTCTTTTCGTGGCCATGCTCATCGGCGGATTGTGGCCCCCGAAGCTTGGTGCCTGAGTTTGGATGTGATTGGACCTACTCGGCAAGGAGTGGATGAGTATTTGAAGAAGATCCGCTATGCTTTGATTGGCACCTTGGTGGTTCCTGACATGTTGGGAAAGCTTCTTCAGCCTCCCGACGATGGAGCAGACGAGGGAGGTGGCGTTGGGCCTCTAGATGATGATGATCCCATCTGTGAGGAAGGACCAGCTGAGGATGGAGACGATGAGGCCCCTGCGGTGGAAGAGGAGCGAAGTCGTCGCGAACTGGAGCGGTGGAAGGCTCGGGTGGAGAAAGACAAGCTCGACGGCGTGTCCTGTGTGGAGGTTCCCTTTGTGGTGATCATGGGTTCTAAGACCTCAGCCGAGGTGCTGGCCGCTACGAAGGACATTCTGGTCCAAGTGAAGAAGCTCGGACTGGTGGCGCAGCGTATACACTCTGACCGAGGCCGTGAGTTCATCAACAAGGGTTTTCGAGCTCTATGTCGGGATCGTGGTATTATGCGGACTACCACTCCGGGCGATGACTGATGACTACCGAGCTAACGGCCGAGTGGAAGCACTGGTGGGACGGGCAAAGAATGCGGTTCGGACCTACCTGTCTGCGTCAGGGCTGGGAGCGGATATGTGGGGTTTTGCGATGCGCAACGCTATGTGTCACGGATTCAGTATCAAGTGGTGACTCAGTTAGGAGGACGTCTTCCTCGATTACCTCCTTTCGGAACCAAGGTGTTTGTGAAGCAGCGATCCTGGAAGCTCAAGAAGGAGGAGTTCGTCGAGAAGGTGGTGGCTGCAAAGATATTGTGTCCTTCTATGGATGTTGCTAGAGGCTTCCTAGTTCGCACGGAAGAAGGCAGCTATCTGACCACCATGGCGGCGGTTGAGAACGTCAAGGAAACTTCTGGGGAGTTTGTGGTGGATGCTCCTCCTGTGCGTGCGGACGAATCTGGGGTCCGGAGGAGGCTGCGGGGGAAAGTGGCCATTGCCAAGGCAGAGCTTGCTGTGGATGAGCAGGCCTTGAGGTGCGAGCAGTTGGAGGACGAGCATCTCATTCAGGATGAGGAGCTGGCGGCGCTCTTCCTAGAGGCCGGGGACTACTCTATGTCAGCAGTGGAGGAGCTCCTTGAGAGTTTGTGGCTTAAGGAGCACTTGGTTCCCGGTCGTCGCCCGGAGGTCTTTGATGGGGCTCCTCAAGTCTCTGTTCATGTGTTGGGAATGTTTCGTCATGGTGGCGTGGTTGGAGCAACTACGTTGGCGCGGACTCGCCCCTTCCTGACCAGGTTTTTGGTGGCGGCAGTAAAGGAGCACAGTGGCCCTGATACTACCTTCACTACCCGACCCCTCAACTTCAACACGCCCATGCAGTGCCACAAGGATGGGAACAACAAGGCCGGCGAGACGGCTACGTTGATTGGCTTCGGGAACTACGTGGGTGGGGCACTTTGGTGCCACACTCCAGTGAGTGATGTGAGGGAAAGCATGAGCTGGCACAAGGTCAATGGCAAATGGCTGCCAGGCCATCGCTACGCGACCTACCACAAGGCGGTAGTTTTCGATCCATGCCAGCTTCACCAACCACTACCATGGCAAGGCAACCGCATTACCATGACAGCTTACACGGTCGGCTGCCCAGACAATTGCAACCAACCGCATCGGGACTTACTGCAAGAGCTTGGTTTTCCACTGCCACCCCCCGGAGTTCCGGCTTTTTCGTCAGAAGGAGGAGGGATCGGTGGCGAATGTGGAAAAGGAGAAGGAGATCATGACGCGGTGTGTTGTATGTCTGGATGTCAGGGACCGGGGGAGAACCTGAACTCGGAATCTCGTGATGGTGTTGCTGGAGGGGGTCCTTTTTCAAATGGATGTCAGGGACCGGGGGAGAACCTGAAGTCGGAATCTCGTGATGGTGTTGCTGGTGGGGGTCACTGCAAATGCAAAGGATGGGAGGTAGATCCCTCGCTATGTCTTTGTCGTCTACCTGGTGAAGAGACTGGTGGTGGTGCTGCTCAGTTCTACATTGGGGATGACGAGAACGAGGAGTGTTCAGAAGACCCATGGTTTCAGGAGTCGTGGGGTGCGTTTGGTCCTCCAATGGTTGCTACGTTGAAGCCGGCGTCGTCCGAGGCTGAGGTGTCTTATGAGATTGTGGCTTCGGAGGCCCCTTTGGAGGTAGGTTGGGATCTCTTCGAGGGCTACTTGGATGAGGTTCGATGTCTTCTGGTGGAGGAAGAGAACTGGGAGCGAGCCCTTGCGGAGGATCAGGATCATGGCAGCCTCGCGGCTTGTCAAGTGAAGCGCTGGAATGCCAGCAGGGAGGATTTGGAGTCCGAGATGGAGCTCTGGCAAAAGTATGAAGGCTCGGAGGAGGACAAAGTGTGTGTGGCTGAGCTTGTTGAGGGCGGCGACGAGGCACCGCTGCATACGAAGACCATTCCCAACGAGGTGGTGAGGAAAGAGTTGGATCGATGGGTGCCCAGCATGCTGTCCGAGTACGAGAGCTTGATCCGGGAGAATGAAGCAGTGGAGCCCTTCCCGGAGGAGAAGCTGGAGCAGTGGAAGCAGGAAGGCAAGGACTTTGACCTAGTGCCCGGGAAGACAGTGCACACTGTCAAGGCGTTCATGGGCCGGCTCAAGACTCGGGCCGTCATCTGCGGGAACTTCCTGGGTCAGAGTTTCTCGAAGGATCAGAAGTACGCGGCCGGGGCGGATGGGGTTCTTACCAGGATCCTTTTGCGTATGGTGGCGCTGATGGCATGGAGTGTGTGCGTAATGGACGTGCGCACAGCCTTCCTACTGGCTCCACTTCTGTTTCAAGAGGATCGCCCTGATGGGTGGTGTGTGTCAGGAAACCATTTGGCGCGTGAAGCGCGCGCTTTATGGAATGGTTACCTCGCCTCGCTCCTGGGAGGTGTACCGCAACAAGACCATGGCCCAGATGAAAGGAGCCACTTCGGAAGGAGAGGTTCGGTTTGTGCCCTCGGAGATCGATGGGAGTTTGTGGTACATTCAAGTCGGCGGCCGTCGAGCGGGAGCTATTTTGTGCTATGTCGACGACCTCTTGATTGCCGGCGAGCCGGAGGTGGCCAAGGAAGCAGCTCGTGTCATCGCGAGCACCTGGAAGTGCACCGAGCCGCAGTGGGACAATGTGGCTTTCAATGGGTTTGAGATTTCCTGCTCCAAGCAAGGGCTCACGCTTCGCCAGGACAGCTACACCAAGGACCTCCTGGCCAGGTACACAAGGACCTGGAAGGCTACGAGGAGGTCCCGGCGCCGACGGTGTTGACCTCGGAGGACTTTGACCTAATTGAAGAGGAAAGTGCCGCGGACTTTGTCAGGACCGCTCAGACAATGGCGGGTGAGCTACAGTGGTTGGCTGGGCGCTGCAGGCCGGAGATCCTGTACGCGGTGAATCTGTTGTCGCAGGCCATCAGCAAACGACCGAAGGAGGCGGTCTACCGAGGGGGGCACTTGATCAAGTACCTCAAGCGATATCCTGAAGGAGGAATCTTCTATGCCTCCAAGCCCTACCTCACTCCCGATGCTCAGGTGTCCTCTCCGGTTGATTGAAGGCTTTTGCGATGCCAGTTTTGCTCAAACTCAGGTCGAAGCCAACAGGCAATCATGGTGTTCGTCCTGGGTGGTTTGGTGGCTTGGACAAGTAGCCGGCAGGCCTTCGTCACCATGTCTACAGCAGAAAGTGAACTGGTGGCGATTTGTGAGCTTACTACCTGTGTGAAGTCTGTGGAGCAGCTGGTGGCCGAGATCATGCTTTCCTCGAAGGACCGTGCTTCGGAAGTGATCAAGGCTATCTGTTCGGACAGCCAGGCGGCGTTAGCAGTATGTCGTTGCGCTGCAGGCAGCTGGCGCACCAGGCACTTGAGGATCAGGGGAAACATGATCCGAGAACTCCTCGAGCTACCAGATTGGATGGCGTTTCATGTTGA